TATATATATATATATATGTGTATATATAGTATAAATATATATTTTTCAATATATTTTTCAATATATCTTTTTTACGATCAGCTTTGAAAAAAGTTACAAGAAAAAAATAGTTTATTTAGCAATGTAATAAAAAGAAACAAACATTTTTGTTGTCCAATATAGCTAGAAAAATTTATACGGAGTTTCTCAAAATCGATTGCACAGTGATTTTTTTTTTGAATTCATGGATGAAATCTGCATACTTACTAATCTACACTCGTGTTAAGTCGATCGATAATCTCGGGCGTAAAAAGTTTGTCTAACCAAATTCCCGACTTATATCACAATTGATTAAATAAACGATAAAAAAAGTGACGCTCGAATGGATATCATACTGTATCAATCGTTTGTTTGTATTTATGTTGTTATCTTTATGCTATAAAGTTTAGAAAAACGATACAAGCAGAGATAATTTTAAAGTGTATTACGCAATATTTTTATTCTGTCGAGAAACTTTTGCATTATTATTTTGTTAACATTTTTTTAAATATATAAATATGTGCTTCTTAAAAAAGAATATACAACTTTTTTATGTTGTGTGTGTGTGTGTGTGTGTGTGTGTGTGTGTGTGTGTGTGTGTGTGTGTGTGTTCCTATGATGATTTAATGACAATATAAAAGTATTTAAAATATTTTAAAGCATAATTTTTTAGATTAGTTCATTTTCGAAATTTTTTTTACTTAAAATTTTTTTTCTCAATATTACACTTTACTTTATTCTCAATATTTCTTATAATGTTTATTGCATGTAAAACTGCGATCTGATATCGTACATTTCTTCGTTTCTACTATCAAACAGCTTAATACATAATTATGAAATAAAGAATCAGATTATTGGCGAAAATTAAATTTCGAATAATGCAAGAAAAGTGATGATGAAAAAAAAAAGGCTAAATTAATCATCAATACATTTTTTCGGCACATCAAATATATATCGAATAACAATGAGCGCGCAAGAAAGTCGACAACCGAAAGAATTCTTAAGTCGCATTTCGCAGCGGAAAGAAAGGAATGCCAGGCATGCCATCTCTGTAAAGTTGGCACCTCATTTTCAAAAATCGAAAATTTTATTAACAATTCTGCTTGCACTCATAAGTTTTACAGTTCCTATATTAGATTTTATAAATAGTTTTGTTTAGATATAGCTAAAAAAAAAGTTAAAAAATAAAAATAATATAAGAAAAAGGCTCAAATAATTAATAAAAATTAAATAAAAAATAAATAAAATTAAATAATGAAAATAGGACTATGAATCAAACAAGGTCTTGATGTTATATTATTAAAAAACAGTTTATTATGACATAATATTATTACGACATAATATTATTATGTCGTAATAATATACGTTTTTTAAAAAAATAAAAATATGATAATTCGCGTGATACCTCAAGTTCGAAAAATTGATTTTTATAATGAAATTTTATAGTGCTCAAAGATCTATAATTCCTGATATATTTTAGCAACAATTTCAGCTTTTAAATATTTTTTAACAATTTTTTAATATTGATTAGCATTGGCATCGCATCACAAGAATAAAATATACCAGCTATATCTTAACAGCCAGTTTCAACTGACTTTTTGGCATTTTCCAATAGTTCTGCAATAATTCCGATGCTTTCTATAGATTTTATTCAGAATTCCAATAATCATTCATGTCCACTAAATTGTTCTATAATTGGTGCATTTATTATATGAGCAATGATAATGAGATATACAGAGAATCAGTAGACTTAAGCCTGTTCTACAATATGCTTTTTGTTTCCTGTTTCTTACTTTTTGTTATTTTTTATATCTTATTTTTTTGCTTCTTATCCAATTTTTTGATTTATACCGCCCGAAATAAAAGTTAACGAATTTCGAAAGAAACAAGAAATACGTAACAAAAAATACAATTGTTGATGAAAATGGGTGCAAAGGAGAAACAAGCAAAAGGTAAAAAAACAAGAAACAGGAAACAAAGAGCACATTGTAAAACAATTTTAGTCTTAGGACATTCTTTTACAACATTGATAATCAGATGGTTCGCAAAACTTATACATATGACGCATCAAAACGACACCAATGTCACCGAGATGATTTCGAGTCCGATTAGTGCAAGTCCACATCGTTTGCATAATGCAGGACTTGACGTTCGCTTTATGGGACAATGCGGAGCGAGGTATACGTATGCAGAACGGTACGCGAAAGTACGACACTTTCGCTCCCGTTTGTCCGTCCCGTCAGCGAATATACGAAATTTCATGCGATCGCTCGCGAAGGCGTGCATATGCGCGTGCCTCCGACCGATCAACGATCGGCCGTTGGTTCGGCTCGTTAAAACTTTGCCGTAAGTCGCTTTAACCTTGGCATACCGTAGCCGTGTCGACGCGTAGCGCACGCGTTCAGCGTTTCATTTATCCTTCCCTCTCTTCTCGCTCTTCTCCTTCTTTCGTCAAGACGCTCCCCGCGGGTCCCTCGCGAGATACGCTCCTGTCTTTTTCTTCTCTTTCTCTCTCTCTCTCTCTCTCTCTCTCTCTCTCTCTCTCTCTTGCCTCCTTGTCTCTTTCATCGTTATAGTAGGACAGAATTACAGTAAGGCCAAGGGCGTGCCGAGACCGTGAATCACGCGGCGGAAAGGGAATTAAGGAAATTGTCCCTGAAATCGTGTAATGAGGCACAAACTCTGCGTCCTCCCGCTACGATCTGATCGTCTGCTGTTAAAAGTCTGTACGTGACAAGGATTTTTGCATAGCGCCTCCTTAAAGGCCACAGACTTTTGCATAATACTACGTAACGCATAAAGCATAAGCAAATCAACTAATCAGAGCTGAAATGAAAGACAGCGTTGCCACAAATTCCTCATCTAAAAATTTTATTTCCCTGATTTTTCCTGACAAAATTTCATATTTTCCCTGACCCTTTCAATGATATTTTAAAATTTTTTATATTTTCATTTTAGTGTAAAAAGTATTTTGTTGAGAGAGAAAAATTTAACAATGTAAATTACTATTAATATTGCTAACACTGTTTGCATTTAATTTGTTAAGTTGGTAGTATTTCAAAACTGCGTAAATATACATAATTAATATTAATTTTCTTTAAAGTCAAGCATTTTAATTTTTCAGAATATTTTGTAAAATTCTTGATATTTCCTTGATTTTCTAATTTCTTGTTTCCTGTTTCTTGTTCTGCAATCCTGCTTATGTTATGCAGCGTTTAGATGAAATCAGAATCTTGTATATAATACAAATAAACCAATCAAAGTCCTCCATTTCTTTTCTTTCCCGAAATAAAAGATTCTAACTGACTGATTTTCTTACATCTTACGTGTTATGTGTTATACAAGAATCTGTATTACGGCCTTAAAAATATAATAATATATACGAAATTGTTATAATAATTGTTATAATATAATATAATATAATAGTATAGGTATAATAAAACATAGAAGGAACTAAAAGCATAATATCGGCTAATGCAGAAAAACGATTAAAAGAATTTTGTCAGTAATGGCATTCGTGAATCGTTCACACTTGCGTGAATTATTCGAAATTTTTTTTTCGCAAGATTTTTTTACGTAGAAAATAATGTTACTACACAGCTGACAATTATGACAGACTAAATCACTCACGTCAAAGCACGCGACGATGAGAGGAAGAAAAGAGTGATCTCCACGGAACTTCGTATCTTTAGCTGTGGTATTTTTGCGCGCGATGCATGCCTTCACTCGAATTGCTTCAAACATGCGTGATATATCTGTGCGTTTAACGATCTAAGAAGAGATCGCTCGTAAAAGCCGTATGTCGTCGCGTGATTTGACTTATTCTCACATGTAGGCTCGTATTTAGCTAGTAACGATAACGTTGCTCTGAAAAAATCGATATAGTATAAAAGACCGCTCCTATCACTAAATGTTGATTCTCATGACCGTTTCCGACAAGAAGAAGATTATACATATAATGAATACATATACTGAGAGTAAAATATATTAAATTTTAACAAATATTTATTTAAACAGCGCCAACTAAATATTTACTTGCAGTAAATAAATATTTAAATTACATTAATCAAAATCGAAGACTCTAATGTGTCAAATAACAGTATAGCTAAGTGTATTTTATATTTTTATATTTTGATTTATTTCTTTTTATGATTTTCATAACTGACTCTTACATGCTCTTTCCATTAAATAAATATTTATTCAATAAAAAAAAATGTTAAATAAAATGAATAGTTCTTGTAAATATATCTTTATAATTAGTAAATATTTAGCTGGCGTACTATTCTAAATATAATAAATATTTGTTTAAATAGAGTATAGTACTAGCTAAATATTTACCAAATGTAAACATTTATTATTTGAAACAGGAATTATTAGTTTGATTTAATGATCATTTCTTTTATTTAGTAAATATTTATTCACCATAAGTAAATGTTAAGTTAGTACTATTTAAACAAATATTTTTTTATTCAAATTTAGTAAGTTTCTCAGTTCTTTTGTTAGAATTTCGAATTTAAGGCTCATAATTGTTTAGAATATTGTGATAAAAAACAAGCGTGACTCTCTTAAAATATTATAATAATGAAAAACAAACAATTCCTAATTCCTAATTGCATTATATTTCCAATATTTACTCAACTTGCGTCTACAATCCATTTATCTATT